ATCTGAAGATACAGGTGCGATGACTGCTGGACAGGTGGTATGGATGTCTCAAGCAGAGGTTAAAGAACAGAGAATGACCCGTGCAGCACACAAACGTAAAGAAAAAGAACAACAGAAAAAAGAAAAAGAAATCAAAGAATCTACTCAGCAAATTGTTTCAGTGCCGGTGGGAGGAGCAAGACCCAAAAGCTCTGCAACATATTCTTCAGTAGCAGAATTTGAGGGGATCTTCTCCAGGCTTAAGGCCAAGGGAGATGGCAAAGCTCCTGACCTGGAATGTTAATGGATTATATATTCCTCAAAAGAGAAAAAAAATCTACCATTATTTGAAACAACACAATAATGATGTTATTTGTTTGCAAGAAACTCATATTACATCTAAAGATCAAAAATACTTAAACAATCCTCGTTTGGGATCTCATTTTGTATCTCCCGCCCCTGGGAAAAAAGGGGGTGTGGTAATTTATGTTAAACAGAACTTATCTGCTACCCTGTTAGAATCAGATCCTCATGGAAGATATGTTATGCTTGAACTTGGTTTATATGGCAAGAAAATTCTTATTGTGGGGTTGTATGCACCAAACCAGCAACAGGAGCAATTCTATAGGTTGTTACATCAGAAAATAACTTTGTTGGACTATAGATCTGTGATTTTAATGGGAGACTGGAATGGTGTCTTAGACATACAAAAGGACAAAAAAGGCTCTTCTACCTTTTTTAAACAGGCTAAACTACTTAAAGCCTTCTTTGACATGAAAGAAGATTGGGAATTGAGGGACTATTGGCGTGAACGTAATCAAGAAGAAAGGGACTTTACCTTCTTCTCAGACAGACACCAATCTTTTTCAAGAATTGATTTCTTTTTGATTACAACAGACTTATACAACAGGGTGAAGAATGTAAAAATTTTTCCTAGGACATTGTCTGACCATAGTCCAGTATGGATGGAACTGTTTGCTGAGAAAGAAGACAGGAGATCCTGGAGGGTGAATGAGAATTTATTCAAACAAGAAAAAAATGTTCATAAATTAAAGGAATGTTTAAAGGAATATTTTGCTTTAAATATGAATAAGGGAACATCAATGTCAATGGTGTGGGATGCAAGTAAAGCTTTTATGCGTGGTATCTTGATAAAAATGAATAACTTGCATAGACAGAAACAGACTCAGAAACGTAAAGATTTAGAAGAGGAGATTAAATTAAAAGAGAAACTTTTAATTTCAAATCCTTTAGACGAAAAGGTGAAAGGAGCTTTAAAACTGTTAAAAACACAATTTAACATGTTGATGGCTGATCAAGCTGCAACCAATTTATTATTTATGAAACAAAATATATTTTGTAATGCTAATAAACCAGGGAGATGGCTGGCTTATCAGTTAAGAAAGAAACAGAAACAGAGGAATATAGATAAAATAAATTATAATGGTAAATTGGTTTATCAGAAAGAATTGATTAAGAAATCCTTTTTAGAATACTATCAAAAATTATATAAGAGTGCCAATATTCAAACTACAGATATAAACAATTATTTAGGTAAAGTTAACTTTCCTAAATTAACAGAAGATCAGGAAAAAGAGATTAATGGCTTAATTACTAAAGAAGAAATTGTTACAGCTATTAAACAATTGAAATTGGGCAAAGCGCCGGGTACGGATGGGTTGACATCTATCTATTACAAAACTTTAGTAGAAGAGATGACTCAACCATTGTGTGAATTGTTTAATAACTTATTACAGGGTTTAGAGATCCCTCCATCTTGGCGTAATGCATTTATATCATTGATTCCAAAAGATAATCAAGATCTTACATTGCCTAAAAATTACAGGCCTATATCTCTTTTAAACGTGGATTATAAAATCTTTGCAAAAATTTTAGCTAATAGGTTTATGGGGATCTTGCAGCAGTTTATACATAAGGATCAATCGGGTTTTATAACTGGAAGGTATATGAAAAATAATGTTAGACAAATTATTAACTTATTAGAGTATCTAGAAAAGAATAACCAAGTCTCTGCAGGCCTGATATTTTTGGATGCTGAAAAAGCCTTTGACCAAGTGAATTGGCAGTTTATGTTATGTTTAATTAAGGAGATGAATTTTGGACAAAATATATTACAAGTATTATCTAATATATATCAAAAACAGACTGCTCAACTTATTGTAAATGGGGGTTTGTCAGAGGCTTTTGTAATAGAAAAAGGAACAAGACAGGGATGCCCGTTATCTCCGTTATTGTTTGTTTTAACATTGGAAATTTTGTTGATTAAAATTCGGGAGTCTCAAGAAATAAAAGGAATAGAAATTAATAAAAAAGAATATAAATTAAGAGCCTTTGCAGATGACTTGGTTGTTACTCTGTCTCAACCTACCTGTTCGGTGGTAAAATTATTACAATTGATTCAACAATATGGATGTGTTTCTGGTTTTAAAATTAATAATAATAAGACCAAAATATTAGCTAAAAATATGACTAATGGTGATAAACAGGTTTTAGTTAACTTAACAGATTTTGAAATTGTTGATAAGGTAAAATATTTGGGGGTCACATTATCTGCTTCTAATGCAAAACTGTATAAAAATAATTATGAAAAGCTGTGGATGGAGGTACAGAAGGATTTAAAAAACTGGAACAATCTACAGTTATCCCTTATGGGTAGAATTGCAGTTATAAAATGAATGTCCTGCCAAAGTTTATTTTTTTGTTTCAAATGTTACCTATTTTAAAGAATGAACGTAATTTAGATGAATGGCAAAAAGGTATTAATAAATTTGTTTGGGCAGGGAAAAAACCAAGGGTGAAACTTAAAATAATGCAAGATTTTCGTGAGAGAGGAGGACTCAAGGTACCAAATATGAAATTGTATTATGATGCTGTAGTATTAACATTGATCAGCGACTGGGTGAATTTAACAAATATAGAAATACTTCATTTGGAAGGTTGGGACTTACTTTTTGGATGGCATGCCTATTTAATATTTAATAAAAAAGTGGATTGGGTTTTTAAGTCTCATATTATAAGAATCTCTTTGCTTAGAGTGTGGAGAAAGTATTATAAAAGTGACTTCAAAATACCATTATGGGCTATACCTCGGCATGCCATAGAAGGCATAAGGAAAGGGGTTAATATGGATATGGTCTCTTATGCACAGTTACTTAGATGGGATGGCCAAGATTGGCAGTTAAAATCTTTGGAAGAATTAACGCATGAAAATTTAACTTATTCATGGTTCCAATACAGACAAATAGTGGACAGATGGAAGATGGATTGTAAAATGGGCTGGCTTAGAGAAGATGAAGCTCTTTTAAAACAAGTAAGAGATCAAAGGCCAACCCATATTAAGAGAGTTTATGGGGTTTTAGTGGAATTGGACTCAGAACCTGAATTAGTTAAAGATTGTATGATTAAATGGGCACAGAATATTGGTGAAACGATTTCAATGGATACCTGGGAACTTATTTGGATAAGAAATGTTAAATTCACACAAGCGCAAAATTTAAGAGAGAATTTTTATAAGATGTTTTATAGATGGCACCTTGATCCAAAGAAAATGTCTATTATGTACCCTAATCTGCAGCCGAAATGCTGGAGATGTGGACATTTGGATGCTACTTATTATCATACTTGGTGGACGTGTAAGCATATAAAAGCTTTTTGGATTAAGATATGGTGGAATATCCAAAGAATTTTTAAACGGAGGGTAAAATTTACTCCGCAATTATTTTTACTAGGTATTGTTACTGATTGTGATGCTAAGGAGGTTATATTGATGTTAAATTTGATTACAGCCGCTAGGCTGTTAATAGGGCAATATTGGAAGAAGGAATCCTTGCCTACTTTGCAAGAGTGGTTTCACAAAGTTTCGTATCTGGCAGAAATGGCAAAGATTTCGGCTTTTTTAAAGGAGCAATCTCAAGAGAAATTTTTTGCAGTATGGGAAAAATGGATAAATTTCATACAATATAATTTGGATATGGAAAAATACCATTTAGCTTTTTTATAACTTGTAATGATTGTTTTTTCCTTCTTTCTTTCTTCCTTTTTTCTTTACGTATTATTACTTATATATATATTTTTTATATATATGTTCTATTTTTCGTCTACTTTTTTCTTTTTTCTTTCTCTCTCTCTTTTCTTTTCCTTTTTTTTCTTTTTTTTTCTTTCTTTTTTAGTATATATTATTCATTTTAAAGTTTATGTTATGCATATTATTATTATATATATTATTATATATATTATTATTATGACCTTTATTATTTTTATTAATTATCTTATAAATTGTAAACGTTATTTTTTAAAATTTGTTAAATAATCCTATATTCAGTTCTGGGAAGTCGGGGGGGGGGGAGGGTGGGGTGGTTTGGGAGGGGGGGGGATGTTTATTTGTAAAATTTTTGAAAAATTTCAATAAATAAAAAAAAAAGAATTCTGTCTTTTGCTTTGTTTTTGTTCTTGCTACACTTTGCTATGAAGGAAGAAGGAAATATCCCAGTTAGGGATGTGCACATTTCAAGGCGGCTTCCAAAGATGGCTTTAAAACTTGAGCAACCACAACAGCACTTTTATGCCATTCAAGCATAGAATACATTTTCAAGGCTCCACACCAGCCTCCCCCCCCCGAAAAATAGAGAGAAAAGCTGCTGTTGTTGCCTTAAGAGGCAAAGTCAATGATTAATGTGACTCTTAACTATATTAATGATGACAATGATTTGATTTGTTAATGCAGCAGTAGAAGCTTTTTTTAGACTAGCACAGGATTCGCCTTTGAAGTACACTCAGCTCTAAGCTCAGTTCCATCTCTTGCATGTCCCCCTCTCAGAAAAACAGCCTTCCTCTGTAGCCTCTTCAGACACACAAGCCGTGGGCTCCAGGCTTCTTCTGGCTCTGTGATCATCTCCCCAGGTGCATCACTAGGTCAATTCCCTGTGTGTTATGAAGCTGTGCTTGTGTCGAGGGTGGCCAGAATCTCTTCTGGTTGGAACTCAGAGACAGTTGACACAGGGCAATGTACAAACTTCTTTATTTTATTATTTTTCTTCAAAGACTAGGTAGAGCAGAATGGTCACCATAGAGTGGATGGATGGAGCCCTTCAAGTCTTCCCTGCCCCTTTTGCCTGCATCTTTTACCCCACATAGACCGGGAAAGGGGCGTAACCAACTCCCTGCCAGCTCCCCAGGTTAAACAAAAGACTCAGAGATCAGGTATCCCTTTGGCTCAGATTCAGCTACATAGCTTGCCTGTCAGCCTCCCCCCCTTCTGCCCCCCCCCCCGCCTGGCAACAATAACCTGAAGGGCCTGCAGGGAGCTGTGTTTGCACTGGATTGGCCGTATAACTCATTTGCCCCATCATTGTGATAGATGCCCTTGGTGGTTGCAGGTGGGACGAGGACTAGCCAATTAGACACAATGATTCTAGAAAGCAGATGGCACAAGCAAGGCAGAATGGTTCATACAACCCCTTGGCTTAGTGGATGGGCAGTCAACTTCCTCAACAGATTAGTGAGAGGAAAGTAGAGAAAAGCAACTCCATGCATATGACAACTAGCTCTTGGGCACCAGCCAAGGAGGGGACAGGATGCATTGGAAGGCTGGAGTCAATTATTTTGTGACAATAGTGAATTCCCAAAGGATGTCCTATTGTAGAAGCCATTTGAAAAAAAATGGCCCATAGTTTAACTGATTCTTGGGAAACAGATTCAGAGATTTCTCCTGGTTTCATGGTAAGACATATTTGTTCCCCGAGGCCTTTACAGCACATAGACAGATACACTACTAATTTGTCTTGTGATCTCACACATCCATGTGCTTGGAAGAAATACAAGAAACATTCAACATGCCTTCTCACCTGTTATGCTATTTTCTCTCATTCATCTCTCACCCATGAATGCTTACAAATGGTCATTCTATGACATACAAACATTCATTCATAGTAATGACAAGCAAATGCATCAGGGTGTGTGATACACATGTATCTCTCATTGTAGGCAAACCTAGGTAAGTTCTATGGCTATAAAAAGTGATGGAACCAAAAATAATCTAATCCTCAACCTCTGTAGGGAGTCAAATTGGTCAATCTGAGCAAAGCAGAACCACGACATAGGATACGCCTTCTGTACATATGCATGTCATATTGTCTGTATGTCCAAAAGGGACTTCAACACAATAGTATGACACTGCTTTTATCATTTTGGTAAAAACAGCTGGAATCTATAGATACCCATCAGTCTGGTGACCTAGAAGGATATCTTAACCTTTATATGTGGGATAAGGTAGAATTCTTCAGATATGGTGAGATTCAACTTGAAAATGCAGGGAAATGAATCCCGACACAATCACAGGACATCAGGTTGGGAAAAGCTGGTTGAGGGAGACTGATCAAAAGGCATCACTGAACTTGTTTTGACTTTTATCTCTTGTTTTTTTCTTTCTATTCTTTCTCTTATTCATTTACTCACTCACTCATTCACATACATACATACATAAAACACCATATACTCTCTGCAGTTCATGTAGATTTCAAGTTGGAAGCTGATCCAGCTCCATTAAGTAAGATTTGAAGGAGAACATTAGGGGTTTCTCCCGGCTTCTTCAGTGACCTGGAAACTGTGTCCTGCAGCTCCTCCCCCTGACATGGAAACAATGTCAGAGGTCAAAGATCAAGGGGGACCAAAATGGTTCTTCCCCAACAGAGGATGCTGAAATGAGCTGCAACACAAATATGTCTCCTGTGGTTCAGTGCTTCTGTTCTTATCCTAGTAGCTGAGGAAGAGGCTTAGATTTCTGATTTGTATATTTTTTGTGTGAGAATGCCCTACTGACATTTGCACATGGTGAAGTTAGGTTTAATTTTGTCTCATTTTCGTGGGCATTGCTACTTCATGTCCTTCCAGTATTCTACAACATGGGTTTTTTTTTGCCTCTTCTTGCCCAGAATGGAGTTCTCAGATTGGTAGGGTCCAGAGATTTATTGGTACTTCTCTCTGCCTAAATACCAAAGAATGAATATAGTGGTAATTTTGTCAACTGAGAGCAACAGCATCACCACAGTGTGGGAAGCTGGCTTCAGCATCAGCCCTTTGCCCCATGTGAAAAGTAGATTTATTGCAATTTTCAATATTCAGCCAGGAGGATTATGTAGACAATAAACAACTTGTGTTCCCCTGGCAAAGTCCTGCCACTTTGGCACAGAGTTTACTTGCCTAGCAACCAGCATGAAACTTGCAGGATTCTTACAATCACACTCTTTTGTCCTATGGGATGACTGCAGACAAGCTCACATTATATTGACAAAACAGGTGCTAATGGGCTGTCCTCTGACCACCTCCAACCTGGTCCCCTTTTCACTTTACCTGAGGACCTTTTGTTTCCAGCTCCATGGGGCTGCATGATGACCATCTAATGAGTGACTAGCAGAGACAATAAGACATAAAACAGGTGTTTTGGGTGATTTACCCTGTTACAGAGATACCTATGCAAAACATGTTGGGCGGCCAGAGACACAGACAAGCAGGCAAGGGGGCAAGGGGATGGTCCCTGACCCCAAGACGCTCCTTTATACAGCATGACAGAGCGCAGCCTGCAGAGTTTTTAGCGTTGATAGTATTGCAGTCTAACTGATATGGCTTTAACTATTAAGGAAGAAAGGAAGGATAGAAAGAAAAAATGGTGGATTTTGGATGCAGGGAGATAACTCCCAAAATTAAACTTGACCCCATCCCCAAACAAAAGTAGAAGGGACAGAGTACCAGGAAAATTTACCAAATAATCCAGGCCTTCCTTCTTCCCAAATAAACACAAGAATGAAAACTACAAAACTTCCCCATAGAAGGATGGATGTTTGATTTTGTTTTCAGCAGTGGCCAAGGACTGTTGATATTGGGGAGAGGGCAGTAGGCCAAATCAGCAGTGAGGCTTCCTCCTTGTCTCATAGTCACCTCTTTTTGTGTAATGTTGTGGCTTTGAAGAAACAATGGGGAGAATCGGCTACGGTGTGAATGCAACAACTGTGCAGTGAAGGGGAACTACTGCCATATGCTAGAGTGTGGGTCGGATGCCCACCACACTCCCAGGCCACATTGGGCTGCAGAGATTGAAAAATGGGAAAGTTTTCTCATAGACCACGAAGGACCTGTCCTTTGGAATCAGCATGTGTGTCTGGGTATGCATGCCTATAGTCTTTCTAGACACTTCAGTGAAAAAGAAAAGGGAACAATTTCTATCTTGGATGCAAGAACAATTCTGCTAATATTTGTGCTTGCCATTATGTTTCCATTGGGAAAGAGATTATCAGCATCCTAGGATCAAGCTATGATAGGGATGGGTTTACTGGCTTTAACATAGACCCTTTGGTCTAGTAAGTAGGCAACTGGAACTCCCTGGCCTTGAAAGGCTATGCTGCTGTCTCTATAAATGTTAGTGCAGGGATCAAGCAGCCCAGGTAATTTTCTTCTATTAGTAACTCAAAATTCTTTGCAGTGGGCCTCCATGCTAGGCGTCTGGTGGGAGTTTGATTCTTTTCAGAAATGAGCTCTTCCTCCACAAGCATATGACAAAACTATGATTTGCCAACAGCCCTAAAGTTAGGCTTGAGAACATTGTGTGTGTGTATGTGTATCCAACTGGTCCTTCCTTTGGTCAGAGATGGAATGTGCAGGGGCTGCCTTGGCCCCCATGAATTAGGCAGGAACAGCAGAACAGAGACTAACAGGCCACAATCTCTGTTTGGCAGTCAGCACAGGGCTAAGGAATATGGGAGAAGGAGGCAGGCTCAGAGGATTGTGCAGGGGCCTGGCTTCCCTCTGTTGCCTTCTCCTCCAAAACCCCATGAGGTTGCGTAATTGAATTTGGTCCCAGTTCCCATTTGTTTTTGCTTTGATTTGACCTTCTAGCCGGCTGGCCCTTTGGCACCACAGAACTCCATTCCAGCTCTGTGTTGGGAAGGGAAAGCTCAGGTGAGGGAAAGGAGATAAACTCCTGGCAGTGCCCAGCCGGTGACTCCAAGGAATCCAGCAGCCTAGAGTGACGATAGCAAGAGGACAGGGTAGGGAGTATGTCCCGTGCCTGATGTGCATCTCTTGGGGACCGAGAAGAAGGCCTGGGAAAGGCCTGTGGCACAAAGACATGTGTGAAGTCTCCCCTTGAAACAAAAACTGGAAAGGAAAATGCCCCATGAAACCCCAAAAGAAAGTCCCTTCACCACCCAAAAGCCTGAACCAAGTGTTGAGCTGGCAACACCAGGAAACTCTGGGTGGGATTTGGGCTGGTATGGCGGCTACTTCTTGAACATGTCCTGCAATGGACCTGGCAGATACTTGAGCACCGTATCCAGAATGCTCTCCTCATCCTCATCTTCATCATCTCCACAGCCAGCTGGGATGGCTTTCTTGGGTCGTGTCAGGCTCCCCTCACAGGGCTGTTCCAGTGCTGCCTTCTCCTCTGCCTCTTTCTCCTCTTTCTTCTTTAGGCCGTACTATGTGGGGGAGACACACAAGACTTCTCAGAGAAATGCAGGAGAAGGTGGATCTTGACTGCAACAACATTGGGCCTTGGGTCATAGGTGTCCTAAATTAAGATTGCATTATCTTAATCAAGGAGGCTTCTGAAGATTAACCAGCTGCTCCAGTAAATGACATCAGCTGCTTCCATAGTGATAGAGTCTGTTCTTAGGGTTACAATCTGGAACGTGAACACTGTATAGAAAACACCTTTATATTTTACTAATAATTAAGATAAAAACTGCAACTTCTGTTACTTTTATGTATTTCCTTTACTGTCTAAGCTAAGACAGAATCTACACTGTGTGCACAATTATTAGGCAAGTGAGTATTTTGACCATATCATTTTCATGCATATTTTCCACTTCCAAGCTGTATAAATTTGAATGTTTAGTGGATATAAGCATATCAGGTGATGTATATTTGTGTAATGAGGGAGGGTGTGGCCTAAGAAGATCAACACCCTATCAAGGTGTACATACTTATTAGGCAGCAGCTTTTCCTCAGGCAAAAAATTGGCCAAAAAAGAGATTTACTAACTGACTCTGAAAAGTCAAAAATTGAAAAAAGTCTCTCAGAGGGATGCAGCACTCTTGAAATTGCTAAGATATTGGGACGTGATCACAGAACCATCAAATGTTTTGTTGCAAATAGTGAACAGGGTCACAAGAAACATGTCGAGAAAAAAAAACACACATTAACTGCCAAAGATTTGAGAAGAATCAAACGTGAAGCTACCAGGAACCCATTATCTTCCAGTGCTGTCATATTCCGGAACTGCAAACTGCCTGCAGTGCCCAGAAGTACAAGGTGTTCAGTGCTCAGAGATATGGCCAAGGTAAGGAAGGCTGAGACCCGACCACCATTGAACAAGACACATAAGTTGAAACAGCAAGACTGGGCCAAGAAACACCTGAAGACAGATTTTTCAAAGGTTTTATGGACTAATGAGATGAATGTGACTCAGTGGACCAGATGGACAGGCCTGTGGCTGGATCACGAATGAGCACAAGCTCCACTTCGACTCAGAAGCCAGCTAGGTGGAAGTGGGGTACTCGTATGGGCTGGTATAATTAAAGATGAACTATCTGGACCTTTTTGGGTTGAAGATGGACTAAAAGTCAACTCCCAAACCTACTGCCAGCCTTCCTTACCTTGGGCATGTCTCTGAGCACTGAACACCTTGTACTTCTGGGCACTCCAGGTAGGTTGCAGTTCTGGAATATGACAGCACTGGAGGATAATGGGTTCCTGGTAGCTTCACGTTTGATTCTTCTCAAATCTTTGGCAGTCTTTTTTTCTCAACACGTTTCTTGCGACCCTGTTCACTATTTGCAACGAAATGTTTGATGGTTCTGTGGTCACACCCAATATCTTAGCAATTTCAAGAGTGCTGCATCCCTCTGAAAGACGTTTTTCAATTTTTGACCTTTCAGAGTAAGTTAAATCTCTTTTTTTGGTCCATTTTGCCTGAGGAAAAGAAGCTGCCTAATAATTACGTACACCTTGATATAGGGTGTTGATCTTCTTAGGCCACACCCTCATTAAGCAAATACACATCACCTGATATGCTTATATCCATTAAGCATTCAAGTTTCTACAGCTTAGAAATAGAAAATATGCATGAAAATGATGTTTATGGTGAAAATACTCACTTGCTTAATAATTGTGCACACAGTGTAGATGGGTCACCAAGTATTGAAACAATACATGGACTCTGAATTAATGAGAGGTGACACTAACCCTTATCTTTCACATTAATGAAAAATCTGGAAAAAGTATTTTATGCTTTTTCATTCATTTAGAAAGTAACTTCCTTGCCCTCTCAGTTAAGGATGGCTTACAATAACCACAGCTAGCATGCCAAATGACTACGCTGGATGTAAGCAACGACAGTTATAGTTTGAATGACATTAAGGCCCCATGTTGGAAGATGGATTAAATTGTGTAAGTTCTACACTGGATAACTGGCTAAAGTATTTGAGGATACTCTATGCCTGCATAACATTTCCCTCTCTTCTCATGACACAGTGAAGAAGGGCAGGGACTACAAAACCTAAACAAATGCAAAATGTGAGTTCCTTTGCATAACTTGCAGTCTTTTTATCTGCCTCCACCCCTCCCCCGGTAAAAAACATACCACGGACTAGTCCCTGGCAGCCACGAATGCACTATCTACATCTGGAGAAAGATCTTGAGAATTGCAGATAAGGGCCCATTGCCTTAATATTGCCATTTCTAGGGTGAATAATAAAGACAGACCTGCAGCACCCCTGCTAATAATTTGAGGATGACTGGGGTTATGATTGGCAAAGGGAAGGACTCTAGAGAGATAGCCTACCCTATCTTCTAGCAAGCATGGGTTTTGTGGAATTGATGCTAATTTTGCATACAATTATCTTTATACAGGTAATCCTCGGCTTACAACAGTTCATTTAGTGACCGTTCAAAGTTACAACGGCACTGAAAAAAGTGAATGACCATTTTTCACAATTACAGCATCCCCATGATCATGTGATCAAAATTCAAATGCTTGGCAACTGATTCATACTTACGACGGTTGCTGTATCTCAAAGCCATGTAATTACTTTTTGCAACCTTTTGGCAAGCAAAGTCAATGGGGAAGCTGCATTCACTTAACAACCGTGTTATTAACAAGTACAGTGATTTACTTAACCACTGTGGCACGAAGGGTCGTAAAATGGGGCAAAATGTCTCACTTCCAGTTAGCTCTTCTTCATTCAGTTTTTGGTATGCTATCAATACGGAGGTTCTGTGGTCTTCTCTTCCAGCCAAACTTATTCTCAATCTTATTGGGCAGCTCCTCCAATTTTACTCCTTCCAGTCTAGCTGATGCTTTGCATTCATAGCAATTTTTATGTATACAATATTTCTAGTCTATCCCTTCTTGATACACCTGTTACACATAATGTTTTCAATTCACATTTCTATAATTGCTTCCTTCAGCTGGGATAATTTCCCTTTAATTCTTTCTGGTATCAGCTTTGACATCCAGCCCTTGCTTTCCAAGCTTGATTTGCTCTGGAAGAGCTGAATAAGAGCACTTCAAACGAAGCAGAAGACTGATGGAGTAATCGTATCAGTGCTGGTTCTCTCTTGGTGCCACAGAATGAGGAACTAACCTAAAAGATGTTAGGGAAATGAGTGACTAGGTAACACTTGTGATGAATTGGAGCATGTCTTCATTGAGCTCACTGTCTATAAAGAAGGGTCAGGCATTAATATTTTTAAAAGCAATGTTAAAAAAAGGGCAGATACACCGAAGGGGAGCAAACAGCATTGGTTCAAATTCTCTCATCTCTGCATAATTATTTAAAGGGACAGCAGAATCTGCTCATGCTCACTGTTACTGTTTTAATTTTAATGTTTTAAAAAAGGTAGATGGCAGAGACTGAACTTTGGTTATTTCCAATCATCTATATTCTTCTCTTAGAAGACAAATAAGCCAGGAGGAGAGGAGTGACTGAGTGAAAGAAAATGGCAAAAGAGGATGCCAAAGAACACTCTTATCAGCATCCAGATTCTGCGCAGGATATCATGGCTCATGCCTAGCCCAAAGACTATTCATTTATTTATTAAATTTACATGCCCCTTGAGACCATATGCCAATACTTTATGAATGATTCTCCTCTTGCTACAGTGCAAATAGAGAAATGGGACCCAGAGAAAAATCATTCATGAGCAAGTGCATATAATCCTGGGGAAGAGCTGGCCTGGAAGCGAGGCTGGGTCATATCACTCTGCTGAACAGACTGTCACTTTTCCAGGGATGCAGCTCCTTGATCTGCCTTCCGGAGATGAGAAAAGGAAAAGTGAAAGAAAAAAAAAAGGGTAAAAAGGAATAGTGGATGGGCACTGAAGCAGTGAGTCTAGACTCAGCTAGATGAATGGCAGTTGCTAATAGCAGAAACTGGCCTTTCTCTTAACATCAAGAAGCTGAATATTGGCCAGCTTCAGTACATTTAGGGATTATCAGCAACAAAATGGAAGTTCACATCAAAGGAGCTTTAAGATGGTAATCTTATGGCCTGGCAGAGACCACTTCACCTCTAGTTGTTGGACTCCAATAAAAGCTCTTTAAACAATTAGAGCTGGCCCTGGAATAAGAGCTTTGGCGAAGAGGCTGTTCTTTGTGGAAAGAAAAAGAAGGAATAATGTTTAGAAGAATGAGTGTAACCATGTTGTGTGCAGGTGGATTTCTCTTTCTTTCATCTGGAACTGCTGCAGCAATGCTGGGATGTTCCAGTGGGGTACAAGTAGATTCAAGGGCTCATGGCAAGAGTCCTTGTTGCTTTAATTCACTTTCCCTCCGTGAAGAGGGACAAAACTGTGAGGCTTTGTTCTCAATAGGCAGAGTCAACCTACTGGCATAATGTTGCCAATCAAGGGGGAAAACAGGATTCAATCCCTTATCAGGGACCAGATGATTTCTTGTCTATGGACTGTTTCTCTTCCCATTCTCTGGATGTCATCCTGTTTCTGGGGAGGAATCATTTCCAGGTATCAGAAACCCTTTCAAGGAGCTGATCCCTGAGGGTATCTTTCAGGAGTTGTTCCATGCATTTCCCAAGGCACAGGGCAGTGAATGGGTATAGCTGGCTGAACCCCATGGACATCTGGTTGAGAATGGAAATGCTAGACTAAAATGGGCCTTGGTCTGATCCAGCAGGACTACTTTTATATTCTTACCTTCAGGTGCTGGCTGCCCAGGTGCCATCTTTGCCCAATCTTCATTGTAAAGGGGAAGCCACATTTCAAGTGCAATAGATACCTGAAGGTGCAGCCCTTCAGTGGGAAGGCAGATGGGGGCAGGGTTTCAGGGAGAGAGCAGGGGGTTCAAGGAAGGAGAGGGACTTTGCTTGGGTCTCTAAGGGCCAGATGGAGCAACTAGGAAGGGTTTATCCCATGGACTGGAAGATCTCCATTCCTGCTGTAGATAATTGTCCAAGATGCTGGATCTGTAAGGGATATTATCTATTGAGTTTTGCAATATTCCCATCTCCTGTAATTGCTCTAGCCCGTGCTAGACAGAAGCCCTGTGCCATGGGAAGGCTACATTAGATATGACATGGTTATATGACAACATATCTGGCTTCCTTTCTCCTTTATTAAAAAGCTGATGCATGAATGGAGTTGGAGTGGCCATCCAAATGTCAAGCCTTTGGGGCAGAATTACTATACCTTCAGATGTCGTTAAACTACAATTCCCACAAGCTGATGCATGGCCAATATTAAAGAATGGTGGCCTCTGTAACAAGGCATGAAGAAGTCAAAATGATGACACTGATTATGGAGTCATCATGAAAATGGCATGTTTATGTAATGACATCACGACGTCTGAGGCAAGTATATTCCCCTCAATTCTTGTTCCTTCATGGATGCCCAGTAGGAGAGATGCTCAGAGTTATAGTTTAACAACAACCACTTAAAAGTTACAACTTTTTCTGGGTAATCAATGCATATCTCAAATAATTCAGGTTTGATTGAATGGCTCCTCAAAACTGAGTTTTGTACATTAAAAAAAGAAGCCAACTCTTGGCCATCATGATCAAGAATAATCTTCTTCAGTTTCCCAAAACTCAGTCTCCCTACTCTCGATCCTTTTCTTGACATTTCTTCCAAACCACTCTCTCAAGATCTTAATGACAGAGAGATTAATTGGAAAATGGCAGGGAGGTGACCCACCTTATCACGGATTTGCTGCCGAACCTTTTCCCGTTCAGCCTCCATGCGGGCATGCTTTGCCTTGCGCTCTTCCTCTTGCTGGCGTAAAGCTTCTTGTCGTTCTTCCTCCTTCTTTTGCGCATCGGGGTCTTTCTCCTCTTCTCCTCCCAACATTTTACCCATGTCCTTCGTGGCCCCTGCACATGGCATGGTTTAAAACATAGTAAGAGGGACTGCTGTGGGAAATCCCCATTTCTTTTCAGTATTTCCCAGAAGGCTGGTGTTATCCACTTCTACTATTAAGGAAAAATAAGGAAATGGCGGATTGACAGATGAAGTTTCTTCAGGCAGGCAAAATGGCTATGAGCTTTTCCATCAGCCTTATTAAAAAAACCTGAAACCCGGTAGACATTATTATTATGTGCACTTTCTTTTCTAAATTGAAACCTAGATGGGTGCTTTAGGCCTGAAAGAGTGACTTTGAGGCAGTCACACTCTCTCAGCTCAAGACACCTCACAGAATTGTTTTTGTGAAAAAAATGAAGTATAATGCCAAAAAAACATAAGCAAAATATATATTTGATTCTACATGTGATAACAGCGGCAAGAATTATATTTGGACAGACTTACTTTAAGGTTGAAAGAAAAAGAAGAAATAGGATATTTTCAAACTTGGGACCTATTTTATCAATGGTTAGAGAAAAGATTTAGGGATTAGGAATTTAATTTGTATTAGTGAATAAGATACTCAGACAACACGTTTTTGTTGAATCATTATTATTGAACTCTGTTAAAAATAATAAAACTTTTTTTAAAAAAGAATTGCTTTTGTGGGGAAAATGGGAGGAGAAAAAAAGTATTAGATATGCTCACTGCCTTCAGTTATTTATAACAATAATAAAGAGGATAAAAGCAAGCAAACAAGGCAGAATCTCAGAAACAATAATTTTTCTGGTTGTGAGAAGTCAGTATTTTCACCGAGACAATTAGTAAATTTCCTTGGCGGACCTCTAGGGGGAGCTCGGATGCCATGAGACATCTGAATAAGAACGCTGAATTTTTCAGAAGGGCCTCTCTCTCTCATATTTGTCTTGATTTTCCCATTACTGCAACATTTCTAAGCTTGAACACAATATTATATAAGCAATACTTTTGTACAAAGGAATAGCCACGATTGTGTCATTGTGGGCAAATGCCTGGACAGCTCTATCTGCTTAAAGAAAATAAAATAACAAGAGAAAACTTCTATATTAGCAATGAGTAAAGTCCAAAAGCTAATCAGACAACATAGTATACAGTAACTGTTAAGGAGTTGGTCTGGGACTCAGAAATCCAGGCTCAAATCCTATTTTAACGTTGGAGCTCATGCAATAAAATTGAGCCAGTCTTTTCTCTCAAAGCCACTACTTTATAGACTTTTTATGGTGAAGACACAGTGAAAGGAGATCTCCTTTGATCTCTCAGAAGCTCTAAAGCAGAGATGGATAACTTGTGGCCAAGTCCTCTTTTTTTAAATAGATCTTGAAACTCTCTCCAGTCACAACCATGGGCATTCACATTCTGTAGTAGATGTCATCTGAGAACTTACCAGGATACTTTTTTTGGCCTTCTCTATTGTAAACTCTATGTCAACACTGCAGCGATCCTGGCCAAAGCCATTTTGTTTCGTTTTCGGTTGCCACAGGACTGGGGGAGGGATGGGTGATTTTAATGTTAGCCTAAACAATATTTTGTCCTGTGGGAACCAAGGTCATCGCTGCCTGGGAACACTTTGGAGGGAACTTCAGATTTGGTTTCACTTTTGACTGTGCCAATACTTTGTAGCCAATAAACATGTTCTTTAAGGAAACCTCTAGCCTTGGAGTTCTCCTTTTACTGATCTCATCAATTGGAACCATGACACTCTATGTTTCAGCCATGGGAATGAGTTACTTTTATTTCCAGCTGTGCAAGGCATCTACAAATTTGGTAAGCACTATACATATGGGAGATCCTGCCTTATTTAAAGAACAGAATTCTGGATATTCACTGTAAAAGTCTGATCTTCATAAAATAGGTTGTAGACGTGTGTCACTGCTTGAAAAAAAATTTCCGAAGAGCTTGGAAAAGCAACTGTTGATGCCTATCAGACTGAAAAAGTTTACAAAACTATTCCCGAAGTGTTTGTCAGGCAATTCATCACCCTTGTTACCCTTCCTAGGAGTAGATGACCAACCAAGATCACAGCAAGAGCATAGCATATTATATTTCAGGATGTCTCAAAAAACCCCAGGGTAATGTGTAGGGAACTAAAGGCCTCTTTTGTATTGACAAATGTCAGTGTTTGTGATATTACTATCAGGGGAACACTGAGCAATAAAGGTGTGCTGCATGGCAAGGTTGTGAGAAGAAAGCCACTGCTCTTCAAAAAGAACATTGCTTCCTATCTACAGTTTGTGAAAGACCATGTGGATAAGCCAGAAGACAATTGGAAGAATGTTCTGTGGACGGACGAAATCAAAATAGATTTTTTTTGGCCTGAATGAAAAACATCATGTTCGGTGAAAGCAAATACTGCATTCCAGCATAAGAATGTCATCCTATCTGTGAAACGTGGTGGTGGTAGTATCATGATTTGGGCCTATAGACCCAAATTTGCTGCCTCTGGACCAGGACTTGCCATCAGTGATGGGAATATGAATTCTGAATTTTACCAACAAATTTTACAAGAAAATGTCAGGGTATCCGTCCTTGAACTGAAGCTCAAAAAAGTGGGTAATGTAGCAAGACAATGACCCAAAACACACAGGTTGTACCACCAAAGATTGGTGAAAGCAGACGAAAGGAATGGCCAAGTCAAAGCCCTGACCTTAATCCTACAGAAAAGAGGATCAGAAGTAGACTTTCATGCAAGGAAGCCCACCAGCATGCTTGAATTGAAGCTGTCTGCTTCCACCAGAAATTAAGTCTTTTTAAGTACTTAGAATAGTAGAGCTAAGAGAATATTGTGAGGAGGTAAGACTTACCCCCTAAGGCTTGTTTCATCACAAAATCCATACTGCTGGCCACGTTAGTGAGCTCTAGGAAGTTGTTGAATTCTCATCCAGTGCTGCTGATGGAAAGCTTGGAGTCAAGGGCTACCTGGGAAGGGAAGTGAAATCAAATGAGCAGGATGAAGTGAAAAAAAAAATACAGTAACTGTTGAATTAAGCTCTGATCAGTGAGTCATCCATTCCTTCACTCTGTGTCCAGAAGCCCAGGTCTAATGCAATATAACCTAATGCAATGAATAGCAATAGAAGAGTAACTGAGCTGTTAAGAGGCACAAGTGTACCAGACTTTAGGTGTGTTTAAACATATTATATCCATCCTTTCTACAGAAATGAGCATAGCTTCTATATTTTTTTAAAGTCAAAACTACAATCAGTTAAATTTATGGATGTATCCCTCATTCTTTGGACCCTGTAGCTTTTCTGGCACCAAGGATAATGTTTAGATAATGAACACAACAGGATTGCAAAACTGCAAATTGTGAACCAGTATAAAACTTTAACCATGGAACTACAACGAACTACACACTCTTTAAAACTCTGCCTCTTGAATCTTTTTATAGAGAGAAAGATGTTTATTGCAATATATTTTGAAGAATGTAGCAAATAAGCAATGCACAGCCACATGTCTGAATTTTGTAATGAAAATGCATTAAAATTATCTCTAAGTGCTGTTCAGCTAAACTTGAATTTAAAATGTCCCATCTTTTAAAATTTGACAACTGTCCATTAAGAACAGAGGCAGTTTATCCATTATGAAATTGCACTCTATGAATTATGCTGACACTTGACAAGCAGCATGTAGGAATTATCATAGCTCAAATGAAGTTAGCATCTGCTGATAAAAATTCATGCCATGAATAATTTGTTACTATTTAAACCCCACAGATGAATATCAAAACTAATAATTGTTTTTGCTGCAAAAAGCAAATATAGCCAAATTTCTAGAATGCATTTATTTTCTCAAGTGATGTTTTAATATTAAATTGAGCTGACCACTGATAAAAATATTTTAATGGTTTTGATAAAAAGTATTGCAAGCCTTCTTGTTTTGTAGATTAACTTCTACCTACATCTCTTGTTTATGACTGGTCCATGTCTAATATTGGCTGAGAACATGACTGCTAGAATATTAGATCTCAGGGTGTGATGAAGGAGATTCCATCTTGAAAATACTTGATAGCCTACAAACCATACCTAGACTTTATAAAGAATTGATGAGTGCTACTGTATTTCCTAATTAGGCATTTCCCACCTCTTGATACCAAATAATCCCTGGTTATTTGTATATTCCAATTTTCATCAGCCTCTGCCCATTTCCCTGAATCTGAAAATTAAAAGCAGCCTCAACTACAAAGAATAGGTTTATACTGCTCCATTTAATGCCATAAATACCTTTTCTACTGATTACTTTCTTTAGGCAATGCCTTGCTGGGAGCCAAGGGAGCATTTATTAGGTGCCATCTCCAGAGAATGAGATACATGCTCCAATGCATGTTGCATTCAGGATGAAGTCCTACCCAATTTATTGGAACTCAGTCCTAAGTTTGTGTTAGTTTGAAATATGAAATAAAGCTTTACTCCCAAGAAGACTTAAAACATAATTCTGGATATAAAACTGGAAAGTTCACAAAGACAAATACACATATGTATAAAACTAGTTCTCATTGTTATTGATTATAATTCTAACCTGTCTTTTTTTCCCCCTGAGGCTGATTGCAACAGTGATCTGGGTGGCTGGATCGCTTTCAACTACCTAGCATGATAAGCTAACTTTAGTAAGCAAATGCAAGTCTTTTTTTCCATATTCTTTTTTTCTTGGTCTTTCTCCAGATATAGTTTGCCAGGGATCAGCTGATTCTAGGAACAGATGTTTGAAGAGCTGGAGCAGCCTGTTTGATTAGTTTCCATCCATTGCTTCTTGTCCTGCCTTCAGGTGCTTTGGAGAATAGCTTGACTCCCTCTTCTTTGTGGCAACCCCTAAGATAATGCTAAATGACTTTGTTGTTATATGCTGCCCATATGATTCAGTATCTGGTTCATGTAGTACTGCAGCGATATTGTTATGGTATGCGCAGTCCAGAAGAACACAAAACAGAATAGCACTTATCATGCTTTATAGCCCTCTCTAAGTGGTTTACAGAGTAAGAATGTTGCCCCCAACAATTTGGGTCCTCATTTTCCTTGGAAGAATGAGTCAACTTTGAGCCAGTGAGACTCGAACTCAGCAATCAGCAGAAGTAGCAAAATATTTACATGAATAATAACAATGTACATGCCTTTCAGTTCTTTAAGGTATATTTCAATTGTCTCTCCCCCGAATCACTCCCCCCCCAAATAAAACTCTGGATTTTATCAGCCTCCTTTTCCATATAACTATACTGTTAACCGATGCTCTCTTTATCATTTGGAATGTTAATGTCACTCCAACATTTGCAAACTTCCATTTGTAAAAATGTGGCCTGATTAGGGGGGAAAAAAATCCAACAATACCTGATGTAGAGAGCTTAATCTGACTCATTTGCTCTAATCTTGAAATGTGGGTTGCTATCTATCTCTAGGAAACTGTGCCGACAACTCACTTAGACCTGTAATTGCAGTGGTTAGCTGAGGTGAGAAATCCATATCTCTCTATGCTAGTTTCTAAAATGGAAAATATGAACTGATTTCTTTAGATCACATTAGGAGTGATGCATGTCCTTGTGTGCATTTCCCCCCCCCCCCCCGCTGTTGACTTTCAGGCAGCCTCCCCACAAAATTGATCCTGTCCTGTCCACCATAGATTAGCTACTGCTGTTTCTTAGTAATTAAGATCATTTTGGAAGGCAGAGAACACTGCAGCGGTCCAGGTCACAGAAGATAATGGCTTGTTAGCAGTGTGGCGTATTCTGTGTTACACTTAACATCAATGCTCTATTTTCCACAGTGCTTTTAAGCCCCACCACAAAAGCAGTATTTGTAGTTCTGGGCTATCTCTCTCTGATGCAATGCTTTGGTACAGAGTCAGTCCAAAGAAGAGGAGACTCATCTGAGCCAGTTGCAGCAACGTTCGGCAGAAAAGTGTCCCAAGTCTCTGTTGACTTTGAAGGAGATGTAAGATTATTAAGCTACAGTTTGCAAGGACTGTATTCTGGAGGGATAGTCTCATTAACAGAAATGGACTTCCTTTAGATTAAGCACCGACAACTGCAACTTAATTTTTTTAGAATCACATAGAGAGAAGGAACCACCTTCATAAGAGAATGAAATTCCAATAGGATGCAAGAGAAGAGCTGGAATCGTTTTTTTCACTTTGAGTACATAACTGTCTGTGGGATAGTCTATATCTTAATAAATGAGGCTCGAAAAATAAGGTCCATAGAATAATTCCCATTGAGTAATAGGCAAGATAAATCCTAGCAATAATAATAAGCCAGGGAATAATAACTGTTGGAGACAGAAAGGGCCTATGAGCTCATTTGTTGCAACTGCCCACTAATGAGAAATAAAACTGGCTAATATGTTCCGAGCCTACAGACCATCTGGCTGAATGCAACTTTCTTTTCACCAATCAGCAGCATTTGTATTTTGTGTTTTTCAGATTGTGGGAGAGAGACAAATTAATTATAAACTAATCAATGATACACCTCAGAAATGAAAAAGAAGAGGCATGGAAGGTGATACTTTCAACAATTGAGTGATTCACTGAACAGCAGTGGCAAAAAAAAAAAGTCATAAAATTCCGTGCAACTCAATTTTAACAACTATCTTGCAGAGCAATGGAAATTCTGGTCTGAATTGTGGTCATAATTCGGGGAGTGCAAGGCAATTTCTCTTTTTTAATATCCTTAGGTTAAAAAGAAACTTTATAAGGGCTTACAAAATTATAGTAACAGTGGACAGTTAATAAAGAGTGTGACTTTTAAAATAATTCATTAATGTGGTAACTAATGTATTCATGAAATTTACAGGATAAAGTTCTTCTTTATCACCACAATTACCTTATGTATTACAATTTTAGTTCCACTATGTTTTATTTGTCACCATTTTTTCTCACAAATATTCCCCCTTTTGTAGCAGAAAAGTGGGGTTAGGCAAAAATTTGGCAAACCTATAACTAAATTTGATTTTTAGCCAAGATTTCTTAAGGAGAATTTTCTCTCTCTTTAGAAAGAGTGTACCAGTTTGGTGTAGTAGTTAAGGCATTAGGCTACAGACTGGGAGACCAGGAGTTCTAGTCCCACCTTAGGCATGAAGCCAATCAGGTGACCTTGAGCCAGACAGTTTCTCTCAGCCCTAGGAAGGAGGCAAGGGCAAACCACTTCTGAAAAACCTTGCCAAGAAAACTGCAGGGACTTCTCCAGGAAGTCTGAAAACTGGACATGATTGAAAGGAAGAAAAATAAAAGAGACCCAACTTTCTCTGCTGATATTTCATCATGCCAATAAATAGAATGGGAAGTAGCAGCTAGATATTGTATAAACAGGACAGAGTGAGGATCCTGGTATAATGACTGATCCTCACAATAAGAGAAATACACCCTGAGATTTTATGGAACATTCTATAAACAGCTCCTGTCCATTCATCCTTGGACACTTGGGTAGAAACAATATTTTAGACATATGCAGCAAAAGAGAGAAGTTTTTCAACCAACAAGCCAATAAGCTCTCTTCCCTCAACAAATCACCTATAGAGCTTCAGCAGCTTGCTTCCTGTGTGAGTTGATGACAGTCAAGCAAGGGGCTTGCTTGTAGATCTGCCAGGAATGCCAATTGCCTGGCCTTGGGACCAAGTTCTTCTGCATTGGCTGCCACACACAGATTCAGAAATTAGTTCTGCTGTTGTGTTCTTTATCTGCACTGCCCTGTTAAATACACAAGCATGCTTGCTTCCTCCCCACTGTTTATGTACCCATGTCTCAATGTGCCTTCAAGACACACAATCTTAAGATCTCCTACAAAGATGTTTCTAGAAAAAACACAAAGAGTAAAATTAGATTTAATATGTGCAAATATGGATAACAATTATAATTCCAGATGGTGGGAAATTTAACCCCTTTCTCTCTCAGGAGATTTGAGGACCCTGAGGAAGACACCTTCTTAGAACGGAGAT